ATTTCAAAAGTATTATCAAAAATTTATAATATGCATATATAACGTTTATAGTCTTTAATGTTTATAGGCATAATATAAAAAATTTGGAAAATGATAAATTTTTTAAAATAAAATTTACGAAATATAAAGTATTTCAATCATTTTTTAAATTAATTTATTATAAGATAATTTAAATGACAGTAATAGGTAAGAATAAGAAATTATAAGTTTAGACGTTTAGTATTTTACACATGTAGGTAACAATTCAGAAAATTATAAATTTATCAACTCATCATGTTACAACATGTTACAACATGTTACAACATGTTACAAAATGTTACAACATGTAATAATTCTTCGAGCAAAATTTAAATTTATTTTTTCATGTCTATACAACAAACAACCTGTTTGMAACWATCTAGAATTATAAAATTTCTAAATTCTATTTTTGATTGAATATGCAACAAAAAGAGGAATTAAGAATACAGAATCTATACATCATAAAATGTCAACATATTATTTTAYCAGAGTCATTATAAATTAAAGTGTATAAGTAGAAAAATTCAAAAATATGGGCATTTATTTGAAAATCCTGGTCCTAAAGTTATAACATACTCGTATAATATCRAGTGGCGAATTATCAACGCATTCAATACAATTTTATAATGATTAATGCGGCAAAAGACATAAACGCCAAAATGTATATTGACATTTTTTTTATAAAATTCGGCCCGACATATTAAATTTATATTGATTTGAATGTATATTATAATTTAACTATTTATTATTGAACATTTTTATAGTATWATATATTATATAATACAATCTTTTATAAGATAGACATTTTTAAATAACTACTTATATAAAATATTAATTTTAGCGCGTATAATATATCATTTTTGCAACTTTGGCACTTATGTTATGTATTGGGTATAACAGGTATCCAATATTAGATTGGCGTTAATGTCCTACGAATTTTGGCGCAAATGATAGGTCTGTTTTGTACCTTTGGCGCTTATGTCATATAGCCGATTAATGCCAATACAAACGAGGATAAAAACAATAAACACACAGTCCATAGTCAGTGACTCTTAAACCTCCATGCCCACATTAATATCCAACCGCAGTATATTATTTTGAACTAAAATGTTTACAACTATATATGCTATGCATACCTACACATAACAGGCGTTGATCGAATTGATGATGTTGATATTGAGAATTAACGGAGACGCATCTCGTCAACATTTTTACATCGATTTATTCCATCTCCGTAGATAGGTAGTTGATTATTTTAAAGTGTCACTAGCAATAATAAATGTTTACAACTCAGAGATCAATATACAATGTACACAATATATAATATTGTGATGTGTCTTTATAGTGTTTTATTGCTAAAATATGTATATATATATATATATGTATTACATACTATGCTTATAAGTGTTTTAATATTTTCTGAATATTTCCTGGCTATCTGAAACTCAGATGGATTTCAGTGCCGGAGTATTAAAGTTCGTACATATTTTTTGGGCCGGAGATAAACAAACATAGCAGACGAATATATAACATTATTTCTCGTGTGATTTACWCAACCTTATGCGTATAATAATTGTAGTATATAACAATATTATAATTTCAGGTGATCGAGGACTGGAAGTACGTTTCGATGGTGTTCGACCGGTTCTTCCTGTGGGTGTTCACTCTGGCCTGTATAGTGGGCACGTGCGCCATAATATTCCAGGCACCATCGCTGTACGACCAACGGCAACCCATTGACTTCCAGCTGTCCAGCATACCCCGACGCCGAAGCAACCTGGCACTGCCACACGAAATCGACTTTTACGAACGCACTTACGGTGGCGACTAGAGTACCTAACTATTTTATTTTATATATAATATATATCCGTTGAAATCCCGCTGCAGGCTCATTATAATAATATATGTACATAATTGAATACATTAAACTTATATACGTAGATAACACACACTTRTTTATATAGGTACACCGAATAAAYGATATATACAGTGAAATCTCTGAGTACCGGACACTATCGATCGCTAAAATGTTGTCCGCTATTAGGTGTCTGTTTTCAGAGGGTTCAGKTTATAGGAAGTTTGTATTTGGTTCTCAAGAATAAACCCGCTTTTTGGAAGTGCCTCTATTTAGAGATGACCATTAGTTAATATAGGTAAGGTACATCCGTCACACTCGCAAATTTAAATGATCGAGCTACCTGTTAGTACCGTGTGGTAGCGCCGCTTATCAAACGCGCCGACTGGTACATTGGTGCAACTATAGAAGAGTAAAAGGAGGGGGGAAAGCTTTGAACCCCCTCCCTCCACAACGAGAAACCCTGCAGACCCCAAGTGATTTGGAATTTTTGAATTCTGTCATGCAGGTTACGGGAGACTAACACGAATAATATTATCGTGCAGGAAAAAAGATAATGCTATAATAATTATATTTAAATTAATATCGTTTCGACGAAATATCACCATAATTTGCATATTTTATTATATTTTATATTTTTGTTAATATGGAACGCTACGCATGTCCTATCCGTTATATATATATACACACAATGAGTTATCTAAACGCGTCTGTATGCGTTTAACAAAATATAATATTGATACGTGTGAAAAAAAATGTTTCATCTCCTTCAGAGCCCCGTGGACGTGGTATCTTTAAATAGTTTTGACTTGAGCACGCGTCGCGGCATGATTTTTATTTGTTTTCTTTTTGCATGTCCGTGACTTTCGTAAATCGTTTCCAATCAGGCACTCTAAAAAACCAGTCAAAGCACACGTGTGCACTATATTATAGTTGTGTTCTATAGTCTACACAGTATACGTCATTATACAATATTAAAATAATTATTTAGAGCAATGAGCGGAATCCGCAACGTGCAGTCTGCACATATTAAATATACGTTACATCTTAGACGTAGGTACGAACTACAAAGACGTATAATGCTTGGAGAGGTACGTACATAATAACTACCTGTTTGACTGTGTTTAAGTACCCGGGAAAATTTAACGATTCCCGACGGTTTTTGTCGTCGAATGATGAATAATTGTGTATAATGTGTATAATGTATGTGTTCTATATATTCTATASGTTTACAAACAATAAGAAATCTGATCGTGTAATATTTTATCAAAATCAATAATTTTCTTTTTTAATTACGTTTAACTGTTTAAATTACATACCAAAACGACCAAAAGCGTAACGATAATATATACATGTTGTTCGAATATTAAGAAATATTTCTGAACGATGATGTAATATTATATAATATGCACATTTGAACGAAAATCACCGTTATATTTTATAGGGTTATAGGGGAACATTGCAGCATTAAGGAATTTTTAAAAATTTTAATAATATTAATTTTTTCGAAGACCTATATATTCACCTTAAATAATTATTTTGTCTGATGCATCAAAGAAGAATATAGTCCTGTTGTTCATCTTTTGTCCTCTCAAAAAAAGTTGAAATATGTATATAATGAATTGTTTTGAACCTTAATAAGTAATTTTCACAAATATTTCATGTATTTTAAGTTCTGATTAAATATTAGTATAAACATTTTTTCTACAAGGCCCYATTTTAATACAGAACTGGTCATATTAATTATAGAACTACCTCCTAGCTAGAGCTATCTTTATCATTATATATACATCCGATTGATATTATGCTTACTTATATATAATAGAATGTGTCACAATTTTTTCCCAGACGAAATATTGTTTTATCGTTATTATTTCACATCGAGAGGACTTTTTACTGCAGATAAACCTCTCCTACCCGAACTTTYAACACGGCCCTCTATCAGTTATAACAATAATAATAGACATTTGAAATGCCCCACAGAACTTGAATTATTCGTGGATAAATATATGCACCTATATATTTATTATATTTTAACAAATAGTTGGATTGTGATTCGAGATCAAAAAGAGCTGCGTTCATGTATATATATAAATTTTTATTTATATATTACGCTTGTGGCTTGTCCTTTTCGCATTTTTGTATATACGTTGCATGTATTTTATATACATATAAACATATACAAATATGGCTGAAGTAATATATAGATTTTGTATCATTATTATTGCTAATATTGGTGGTCAAAATACTGTCGGGTGATAGCACAAGATAATTAACTTGATCAATGGACGAAATTATTAAAAAACAAAGAAACGACGTTCGTTCGAACCAAATTCCGTGGGTATAATACCTTTACTATATCGCCTATATAGGTGATATTATAATATTGTGTTTGTCGATTATAATTTTATTTTAGTTTGGAAATCGATACTGAAACCGTCGGAGTCGTCTGACACTCCCGTTAGCTATGTTTTCACGTTAAAAACTTATTGTGACCTACCACAATCTTTGAAGTACATATTTTATTATTATAAATATAACTATTATCTAATTAAGTATGTACAGAATATGTGTCGTACCACGTACCACCTATATTGATGTATTTTTATTATCTGCTTGGACTGCAACTTTCTAAAAGTATACATAACATAATATCGCGTACCTACATAYATCTATTATTAGAATAGTATAGGTACCTGTTAATGTACAGGTACATTATTCCTACTTAAAAAAAAGCGTTGTATGCATCATCATATTATATTCATAAATGAAACGTTTAAGTTTGCTCAATCTATCGAAAGACTATGTACATTTATTATTATTACTTATTACCTATGTTTATATTATTATACTCCAACGCGTATACATAAATATTAATAATATTATAATAGTATATTACGGTTACTTAAGTATAGGTACTACGCGTGACGTTTGTCAATCGACCGTGCTTATAAATATCGTATTCTATTAATGCTGTTGTTGTTTACTTTTTATGAATTTTTTTAGTATATTGATGATATCGTTATCGTCAGAATTTTCGATTTCCTGGACGTTTTCGTTTCGGTCATGCTCATTATTTTACTCACTCGGTTAAACATTAAATTAAGAGATTTCATGCGTTTGGCCACTAAAACGTAAAAAATAACTGTTTTGCCTGGTCGCGTCTAAGAAATTAATAACAAACATAAAAAAAATTTAAATAAATAAATATAAATAACAATCTTGGACAAAGTAGGCATTATTATGGATTTTAGCGTTAGTCTTCCGATATATCACGTGATAATAGTGGCAGAAACGCCTGTGTATAAATATAATATTATGTTCCCTGCTCAATGTGTATAGATTTCTGTATAGGATTAATAATATTGTAGGTAAATGCGCTAAGTCTTCGGAACTATTTTCATATACCTAATATAAAATAGTTAAAAAAAGCATTCATTTTTTTATGTACGTCTGATATTTATATTACCTATACGTGTTATTTGCGTGAAATTATTCAAATTTATTGAATATTATACCCAATTTATTTGCATTTTTTTAAAATTGATTTAGTCGACAGAGTCCGATGGTTTTTTGCAAAAATTGTACTCAAAGAATAGCAATTCATTTTCAAATACTTTTATTAAGATCTCGTCAAAACCTAAAGTAATAATTTTCATATTGATAAATATTATTGTCAATTATTATTTATTAGAATATTTACTTGCAAATAAACGAATAACAGTTTAATACAAAAGAATTTAGAATAAGCAGTCTAGAATAATTATTTAAAACCATCGTTCAATGTTCACGATTCAAACTGGAACCTCGTAAGAAAATTAATTTAGTCAATCAATACAGTTAAAACAAATTGAAATTATTAATTATGATGCCTGTGTATTATAAATTTGCATGCAAGTGCGAGATGGTATTAAAATAATATATTATACTTTATAAATGTACGTAATCGATTTTTGTATTAGTATATTATGTGTAAAATTTAATAATAATGGTGAATACGGAATAATGTATACATGTTGTATTTCCTGTATTATATAATATAATATTATTATAATTACACTTGTTTAAGAATTTGAACTATACTATTTTATTTCAACATTTTCAACAAATTCATGAACTCCCATTAAGTTCTGCAGAGTACATAATATTAATTGGGCATTTAACTTGCTAATTCCTTTTTTGGACGCAAATGTATTTTAAACTATTTACGAAAGATATTACACTAAATACCTCAATTATTATTATTGTTATACAAGTTACTTTAAATTTATTGTT